ATGGTTGGAAACAAGCGGAGTAAGGTCCCATCTATGCTGAAGACCTGGACTCGTTGGTTCTTACCATCAGTCACAAATATCTCATTGTCAGCAGACACGGCAACTCCGGTGATACTTAGGAATTTTCCCTTTCTTTTTCCGTACCCGCCAAACGTGATCTTCTCTTGCTTTACGTCACAACCTTTTGCCATAAGTGATTAAAAAAAGTATTTTTCAAACTGAAATTTAAAACATTTATATTTACACACGCCAAGGACGCTCACACAACACACACACACACATACACACACACACACACACACACACATGGGCCATGATGCGTATAGCTTCTTTCACTCACCAATAGAAATAATCTTGTTCATTGTCCAATCCAATATCCTAGCATTGCCTCATTAGCCTGGGTACCATCCCCAGTAGTATATTCGCAAACTCTATAACCAGTTATAGAGTTTGCGAATATACTACTGGGGATGGTACCCAGGCTATTGCCTCATGACACAGAGGGACCAAGTCTAAGGCATTGTCTAATGAGAGAAGCAAAGTCTTTAAAACATTGTCTAATGACACAGAGGGACCAAGTTTAAGACATTGTCTAATGACACAGAGGGACCAAGTTTAAGACATTGTCTAATGACACAGAGGGACCAAGTTTAAGACATTGTCTAATGACACAGAGGGACCAAGTTTAAGACATTGTCTCTTTTAATATTTGTGTTAGACTCACCTTTGTGATGTGGGGTGCTGGAGATTGCCGGGAGCTTGGGGATAGATCCAGTATTAGCATTAGCAGCAGCTTTAGTAGTAGTAATAGTAGCAGCAGCAGCAGTAGTAGTAGCAGCAGCAGTAGTAGTAGCAGCAGCAGTAGTAGCAGGAGTAGCAGTAGCAGCAGTAGTAGTCGTATTCGCTGTCTGCTGTTAATAGAGGATAATATTGTCAATGCAGGCTATCGCAATCGGTTTATGGAGATCATGATAAATTATCTGAACCATGTCTGGATTTGATAGCTGCAGGCCGATGTCAACGTATTATTCTCCAGATTTTATTGGAATAAGTACAATAAAGAACAAGAGTTCCGAGATCTCATACCTCCATGAAATATGGGCTTGCTTTGTCCTCGAATTATGCAAATAACCTCTACATTAACATAATATATGCATAGCGATGCAAACCTTTAAGTAACTTACACATGTTACGAGGTATAAAATTCCCATCATTCACCTATAAGGATTCACAGAATTTTCACATTAATTATGCAAATTAGGTCATCATTTGCATAATTGGTATCTGTTGATGTTTCGCCTGCCACAGATTAAATAGATAACATGTATAGCAGTACCATTATATGAAACACTGTAATTATAGAATTTTCTGGTAATTTTGCAAATTAAGTCCTCATTTGCATAATTTGCATTTAATCATGTACAACTGTCTCTCAGGTACCTACACACCAAAATGATGAAAATACGTTGTTCCAATCTGGACTTATTGGCTTTGAAAGTTTTTACCAGAAACTAACCTGCAGTTCCAGAACAAGCTGCTAGGGGGACCAAACTTACGCCACTTATTCCTGACAGGACAAGCTATCTTTCACCAAAAAGTCAAGACCATAGCTTGTTCAGGACAGAAGATACAAAAACCGGAAGTTCTGCTGCAGTACCAAGGTCATCCACCAGGAGGCCCATACTTGACCTTGACCTTTGTCTTTCCAAGACTTACCAGCATACCAAATATCATCACAATCTATAAAGGCGTTCTGAAGTTATGCTGACTACAAAGTTGCGGAAACACACACAGACACACACACAGACAGACAGACATACAGACAGACACGCCAAAAACAATACCTCCATGAAAAATAATTGTCTATTTTAAAAGTATCCTGGAATTGGTACCTCACCGACAAAGTAACAATACGAAAAGGTTAAGGCTTGTGTGTATAAAGCATCTGTTTGTTGTTTTTTGGCGACGCCTAAGGGGGGGGAGCCTAATGGTACAGTATTGTGTGCAGTTTGCAAGAATTCTAGGAATTTTGCTGACACACATCTATGACGACAGTCCTACACAGTCCATATTCCTAAAAAAAAACCTGGGAAAACCTTGCTGGGGGATTACCTACATTCCTGAGCTCGTTCTCTATACACTCAGGGGAGGGTAGGAGTGATCTACTGAACTGTACTATATCGGTCTAGACTTCACAGGTTACAAGGTACATGTGCAAAATGTATAATGCCAGTGATGCCAATTACCCGCATAAAGTATACGGGTAAAGTAAAGGGGTGGTTATCTCAGGAAATTGACAATGCTATAATAAGACAGAAGCGTACCTGTGGCGGCCTGGCGCTTAAGGATAAGCAGAGAAAGACTCCTGCGACGATGAAAAACCCAAGAACGACAGCCGCGTAAACTGCAAAGATCACTCGGCGACGCGTACAGCCTGAAATATCATGTTGGTAGTAATCATAGAGAAATGCTGGAACTTTATTCCAACAACAATTAGTACATAGAGATCAAATTTTCAACTGTCGCCTTCATCAGGATAATTACTGACTAATCACCTGAAATATTGCAGATAACAGCAGATCTGTTGAAAATACATGTAAATGATTTTAGGGCGTTGTGTCAACAAGGGAAATGGACTCAGTAGGCGTGTAAAACAGGAAAGAGACATTACCAATGACAATAAAAATTCCAAGATTTCTCTCCAGCAAGAGGTTTATGAAGTTGATAAAGTTCGTACCGTGCGCTGCAGGATGCTGGACGTTTGGCACGTGCATCGGATTAGGATTGAGTGCATGCAGGACATCATTGGCGTCATTGATGCTGTTAGAAGCCGCCGCTGGTAGATGCTGGGAGGACAAACTTGCTTGAATGCCTCCTGAAGTTGTGTTCCACCCCACGTCACCCCGGACCATGTCTGCGGCAGCGTACATCGGATTTGGATCGAGTGCATGCAGGGCATTATTGCTCGACGGGCTGGTTGAGACATCATTGATGCTGTTTGAAGCTGCCGTTGGTTGATTCTGATTCTGGGAGGACAGGCTTGTTTGAGGGTCTCCTGAAGTTGTGTTCCACCCCACGTCACCCTGGCACATGTATGCGGCAGCGTATGGTTGAATGACCTCATCTTCAGATGCGATACTGGCTGTATGTCTGTTTTTAGACGCAGCACTGCCACTATTGTCATCTTCTTGGTATCTAGCAGCGTAAGGCTGGCCGCCATCACAGTTGAGTGAGGGCTCCTGGTCTTCTTGGTGGGTAACAGCATATGGTTGGATGCAGGGATTGTTATCATTGTTTGCTGACTCACCGAATGTTTTATCTTCTTCGTATTGAACGGCATAGGGCTGGACGACACCACAGTTACCTGATTCTATGGCAATGTTATCATGTTCATGGTGGGTAACTGCATATGGTTGGATGCAGGGATGGTTCTTATTGTCTCCTGGTATTTTCAACGAGGCTGCCTCATCATCTTGCTGGTAACGTGCTACAGCATATGGTTGAAGGAAATGGTTGTCATCGTTGTTAGTCGCTGGCCTGGAGAAGGCTTGCTGGTGTGCGTCAGCTGATGTCTGGTTGCAGGAATTGTCATCACTCTGTTGACTTGAAGTGGGCCCAGGGCTGCCTTGCAGGTACAGTCGGATCGGGGGTTAACGTCGGTTTCTGGAGTGCGTCGGAGAAGTGTACATGTTCGTAGCGTTATGTGTGTACATCGGGTTTGGATTCCTGGCGGGTCCAGGGCTGGCGATTGGCTCCGTGGTGCTTTGCAGGTACATCGGATTGGGGTTAACGTCGTTTTTGGCGTCCATCGGTTTAGGGTTCATGTTTTGTGTGTACATCGGGTTCGGATCCCTGGCTTGTGTATGCATGTTGCTGTCATTTGCATTAAAAACTGAAGTTTCAGTATCATTATCATTATCAGTGTTGTCGGGCGCCGTTTTAGTTGCCTGAAAAGGTTTGTTTTTGGTCTCTTCCGCGGCTTTCTTCATGCGAAGAGTCTGTTCTTTGCATATGTATGCAATGGCGTATGTATCGAACTCACCAGGGCCGATATCGATTGTCTGAATGTTCTCAGTAGCAGCATCGCTTGTGTCAGACAGATTTTCATCATCATTGTCTTTATTTTCCTCACATCGACCAGAGATGTGGTGACTGGCACCTTCGGTAGCGTGCGTGAATGTGGATGGCACAGTTGCTGTGTCTGGTTTTGCCATACCTTCGCTGAAGAACTCGTTTCTGACGACCATTGCTTTTGGTACGGTGTTGGATGGCATATTTTTAGCCATGGCTCCAAGTAAGACGAAAACAAAGAGATCCTGCATTCAAATGGTACAACATGTAGATGTAACATAAAAAACATGCATAACTACAAGCATTATAACAATGCTACAGTCTGCCTTGATGCTCTACGTTGAAATACAGCGATGGTGATGATCATATGTTTAGTCTTTGCTTATTGCCATAATTTGATTATCAGAACACAGTACATTAAAACAATTTCTATCCTCAACCTGTATCGCTATATGTGCACTGTAAAGACCACTGGGAAAAATTCAGACAGAATCAATACATCTTTATGTAGAAACAGTCCGATGCCCTAGAGCGCGTTCAGAAACGCGCCTGCCGAATCATTCTGGGACGCAGGTACAACTCGTACACCGAAACCCTAGCGCTACTCGACTTGCAACGTCTGGCGGATAGAAGAGAACACTTTGCTACAAGTGTGGAAAAGTCTTGACGCTTCCGCTCTTGGCTTCCCCATACCCATGGTGAACAGCATGGTAGAAATCTGCGAAACGCCACTAGGTACCAGCAGCCCTCCGGGACTAAACGCTAAACGACGAGCGGGATTCCTGCCCTGGTGAAACGACTAAATGAACTGTAGATCATGAACTTTTATTACTAGTACGTTTTAGTAGCAGTAATTCCACACTGTGTTTTTATTCACATTCCACACAGCTATATTGTATGTCGATTTTAAATATTCCCTTTATAAATTTAACTATATTTATAGATTTTATAAATGTACATAGTTTGTCGCAACATAATGTTAGAATAAGCCTCGCAATTCAGCCATCATAGCTGCCAGGAGGCTTGTTGTGTACATTTTCTTGTTCTTGTTCTTGTAATAAAACCATTCTACCAATCTACCTATGTAGATAAAGCAGCCCACGAGTCGTCTTCTGATACCAGACAATTCATGTCAGTGCTGAGATCATGAGTTTGAACTACGTGTTGTCCTGACTGGGGTTGGGGTTTTCTACATTGTTGCTTTTCCTTGAAGTTGTTTAGCGGTTCCTCATATATTGACATATTACATGTTTCTTGGCAAACTTGATGTCATAAAATGTTCAGTTATTTCTTTATGGTGGAAATATAGAGAACTTTATTGACACAACAAAAGTACAGCGACTTTCGCAAGGTCTAAGACATGTAGATATACAGACAAATAAACATGGGTACAACGAAAATATCCTACGTACAGAACAATAGAAGTGTCAACTAATACTACTTGTTCTAAGGTTTAAACATTATTTGATATATTTACCTATTTGTACACAGTAAGGGTTATTGCCTTCTATAATATAGAGTTGTCTAAACAGTGACTTATTATCAGTGCGTGATGCACGTGTTGTTCCAGCTGAGGTTGTAGTTGACATGTTGGTTTTACTGAATGTTATTTTAGCGGTTCCTCTCATAAATGCTTACCGATATGCAACATGTTACTCGGTGAACTTGAGATTCTTTCTTTGTGGGGAAAATATAGACGCGCCTTAACATTACCATGTTGAGTAGTGTCGTGTTTAAATTACAACACACTGTTAGTTCATAACAGCTGGAATCATTATAAAAATTAAAAAATTACATTACATTACCCGAAACCTATCAAGTGCTACTGTAAGGTGATATGGAGATACAGAGAAGAAAGATTCAGAAATTCTGTACTTACCGTAAGGCTTCGACGAGCGACTTTTCTTCAGAGAGAACCGACCACAATCGCGAAATAGAGACTCAGTGCAGGGAGATAATATAGATATTTAATAAACATATTCCATGCACGTCATAAATTCACCCGCAAAGGTGTCTTGTCTGATATTGTATGGAAACAACAGGGTGTTGAACACTGAAGTCCAAAAAATGGCCACAGTTTATTGTTCATAAGATAAAACGAAAAAATCGGTTATAGCAGTGAAATGCAAGATGTGTGAAAAAAAGTCGTTTCGTAAAGAATTTTTTTCAGAAATATGAATTTAGAATTTTAGACGTTAAGCTGTCCCTTCCTTGGGAGGAGTTAAAGTGGACTGATCCAACTTTTTCGTCTGTGAACGTGGGTGGAGGTTTGAAAGCCAGTAGACAATACGTGAATGATGAACCTCGTCGTAATTGAGGTTTGGGAGCAGGTAGACAGATCATGTATGATGAACTTTTCTTTCTACACCCACATACTTCTCATCAACGAAGCAGGCAAGGTGGTCTTGTGATTAGGGTTTTTGACTTAGAATATAAGGGTTAGTAGAGGCACTAGCTTAGAATTACAAGAATACCCCATGCTGCGCCCTTGCTTTGAAAGGCACTTAACACCTATTTCGTCTGTTAGCAGTGAAATTTAAGATGTCTGAAGAAACGTGGTTTCGTAGGAAAACTTTTTTAGAAATGTGACTGTTGAGCTGTCCCTCCCTTGGGAGGAGCTAAAGTAGGCTGATCCAACTTTTTCGTCTGTGGATGTGGGTGGATGTTTGAAAGCTGGCAAGACTATCCATGTATGATGTACCTAGTAGTAATTGAGTTTTGAAAGCTGGTAGACTATACCCTTTCTACAACCACGTACTTCTCATCAACGAATTCGAAGAAGATGGTCTCAAACTTTTTGTTAGGCCCTGCCGTCCTGTGATTTAGAGTCTAAATGTATTGGGCTAGAATTCCCGGGAGACAAGGTTGTTCCCTTGAGAAAGGTTCTTTACACCTATTTTGCTTGTTGACTCAGCTGAAAGTGGGTACCTAGCTTTGGTTAGGGACTCTCTAGCAAATCTGATTTTGATGGGATTGGCTGAAAACCTTTTTTGTGAATAACGATAGCTTTATAATTACGTGAAGTTTTTATTCATATTAAGCCATGCCCATACATGAAAAACTTCAATGACACATTGTTGATAACACAGCCAGTTACCGAAGACATGTCAAAATATCCTTATATATCAATGAAACAATACATATGTACAACAGTAAGAGAAAGATCCCACAGATTATAACGTTACTACATACATTTACCTAACTTCACACAACACACATGTAAATGACAAGTGTTATAAACAATCGTTTATTCCAATCCCTTCTACGTGTCATAAGTGTTCTGGCAATTCTTTCCATTGCCGATGAAGAAGAGTGATAGATGTCACTCGATTGCGAAACATCCGGAATTTGTATTTTGTCCAGTAGTAGAATTTACATTGTCTATGCATGGGTCTATGCACCCTTTGTGTTTTCTTGTTAAAGATTACTCAGAACATATGCCTGGCAATCTACGAGGGTAGTAAGACAGCGTGTAATGTAAATTACGACACTATTACTGAGTGGCTGTTTTCCTCCGGAAAAAGTACAGATCACAACGTACTGTAATACAAGAAATGTTCTGGCTACGTTAATTTTTTTTACCCGTTATATAATAATAATAGTTTATTGACAACAATCCTTGTACATGGCAGCGTTTAAACCGCTGAATTGCGTACACAGTTTTAAAAACAATTAAACAATAAGGTGAGCTAAACAAACAAAGGACATTGACAGACTAGGTACAAACAAATTAAACAAATACTAGCTGTACACAGTTATAAATTAGATAGATCAGAAGTATCCGTAAGTGATTAAAAACAATATTGGTCCGGTACTGGGAGTTTTCAACCTAGGTCTGCTTGTTTATTTAACAAATCAGTGAAATAGGGGATTGGACTCGTTTTGTACCGCTTTGTTTTCGTCAAAGGGATGTCGAGTTGGTTGGCCCCCTTCAGGCATCTGCCATGGATATCTGAGCGGGATGGGGGTAACCAATGTCTGAACGTAGGGGAGTTAAGGAGGGACTTTGCAAACTAACGGCTACATACATGACACAATTTATGTTGCTTCATGAAGCATTCCATTGGACGAGGCCAATCTATTAATCGGAGCTTCGGAGAGAAACTCGTCATGTTTTTTTGACACAGAGGTCCAACAGCGAATTCGTCCCTACGACTGTGACCGGGTCCTCACTGGCGTTTCCTGTAGTCGATACAGCCCCGACAGTCACAGTGTTCCGTGGTCTTGTCACACCAGTTGTGACGCGAGCAGCATGGGTGACTGCTGTCGGGGTTGCATTCAGCCGGGTAGCCATCTTCCGTGAGGAAGCCGGGTCCACACTTGAAGTCACCGCGCCACTTCTTGAAAGCTGTTTGAGAAACAAAAGACGTAAGACATTGACAGATCCCGACATTTAAGCACCGCCGACTACTGATCCAGAATACTAACAATACAGCAATACAGATAAAATACATCGTATCCTTACGTTTTAAACCAGCAAACAGGCCGTCTGAGTTGCCTTGCAGATTCTCGACGCTTGACTCCAGCTTCAGGTGCTCCGACGTCAGTTGACTGACTGACAGCTTTATGCCGGACAGCTTAGCAGCTGTCTTCTCCTCCAACTGGCTGAATGACAGCTTCAGGCCCAACATTGTCACCACTGTATCAAAACAATTCAACATCACATCATATTATAGATTACAAAGAAAATCTACAACTACACAAACGACTCTGTTCCTGCGTTGATGAAGGTTAGACATTAAAGTTAACAATATTCGAACAATTCAAACTCTATTACTGGATAATTAGACATAGCGTTACGGATAGACCTTTCGAGCGTCACTATAAATGAAGCGAACTGATATCCAGTACTTGAGTTTAGTTTGTCTTTGACTCTGTACCTGAAACGTCGCCAAAAAAGATGATGACACTTCAATTCTAGCATACTAAGAAATCAATTTATGGCAGAATCACAGCACTTACCCAGAAAGATAACCACCCCGAGCAGACAGCAGTTCAGCACTGGGGACAGTCTGGAGATGGTCTTCTTCACGGCGCTGGTCCAGACTTGGGACTGACCGGGGTTTCTCATGCCGACCCCTGGGATGTAACCAGTGGCGGCATCAGAAGAGCTTTCTACAGACGATAGATGCGAGGCCAGAGACATTAGATTTGTTGTTACATGCAAAACTCTAACATGCAGATACTGGTACTCTTTTCGTGGTGAGAAAACGCCACACTGGATTTTGTTCTTCTAAGGTGTGCCTGAGGCCAAATTACGTGACATTTCTGTATAGGGTTTTATCGAAATGATAGAGTGTGATACTAGTACATTATAGAATTTTAAAATTGACTGACAACAGTGAAATGTCATTCAATTCTACTATGTATAATCTCTCAGTTGTTTTAGCATGTAAAATATACCCTACCTGTTTGTTCTGGATTTTCTATAGTCAAGTTCACCACCCCCGGTGTTGCCGTATTGTTGTTCGCAACTGAGGCGGTCTTAGTGGCCGCTAACCCCGAGGGGGTGATCGGGCAGGCCTCGCTGTATGTATGTACAACCATAACAACAATTCCCGTCTTCGTTCTCACTCGCACCAAGGTGGTTTGTCTTCGAATGAAAAATATTCCTCGCTGATAGACTGTTTCTATGTTTTCTTTCTGACGCCCACTTTGATTGTCTGAGCGGTGCCTCATCTAAAAACATGATTTAGTTCTTTTCGTCGTCTTTTAAGTTCACAAATGTCAGTCATATTTTTGTTTTAACCATTTTTACCTCCATGAAAATGGAGGTATTGTTTTGGGCGCGTCTGTGTGTCTGTCTGTATGTGTGTGTGCTCGTGTTTCCGCACATTTGTAGTCAGCATAACTTCATAATGCCTCTATGGATTGTGATGATATTTGGTATGCTGGAAGTCTTCGGAAGACGAAGGTCAAGGTCAAATATGGGTCTCCTGGTGGATGACCTTGGTACTGCAGCAAAACTTCCGGTTTTTGTATCTTTTGTCCTGAACATACTATGGACTTTAATTTTTGGTGACAGATAGCTTTTCCTGTCAGGAATAATAGTATAAATGGTGTGAGATTGGTCCCCCTAGCAGCTTGTTCTGGAACTGCAGGGGACTTTCGGGCGAATAAGTCCAGTTTGGAACAACGTATTTTCATCATTTTGGGTAGGTAGGTAATTTGCATAATTAATGAGGAAATTCTATAATTACAGTGTTTTACATTATAGTACTTTCATACATGTAATGTATGTAACCTATGGTAGATGGAACATCAACAGATACTAATTATGCAAAATGATGACCTAATTTGCATAATTAATGCGAAAATTCTATGATTTCTTAATGGTGAATGATGGGAATGCCATACTTGGGACATCTGTAAGTTAATCAAAAGTTAACATCACGATGCATTTATTATGTTAATGCAGAGGTCATTTGCATAATTAAAGAAGAAATTTACATTTACATATTTACAAGCCCATATTTCATGGAGGTATGAGATCTCGGAACTCTTGTTAATGCTTTTATTGGCCCTCAAGTTGTAACGATTAGAAAAGAAGTCTACACTGGTAAAAGTGTTTCTGACTGACATGTAATGTTTACAGTGTAAGAAATTGCTTTTTGTTTGTTATTAACTTGTTAAACCATTATGATGAGGCAACAAAGTAATATTAGATATACAATTATACTTTGTGACTGGAACATGCATGTATGATGCAACAGCTAGGCTTTCACTTTGTTCTGTTAATGTAAACATCTGAAAAAAATTTACATATTACTGTTTGTTTGACTTTGTAGAGAAGGACTGATCTAAGTTGAAACTAGTACTGTCCTGTTTATGTATATAAAAGGCACATTTTTTTTAGTACGAAAAACATCATAGCTTTTATACAAAGCTACCCGGGTTACCCTGTTTATCCTTAGTGTAATCGGAACTTATACGCTTCGACAAAAACAGGTTGGTGGCGATGTTGCAAAGTTCAACCTTGTTCATGTTTTCCCGGGATATTGCGGTGGACCTTCTGGTTCACTTACAGTCCCGCCGCCCTTCTGGCTACCACAATCATCGCCAGCCAATTTCTGGCCTTGCGGCTCCCTTCCCATATTAATGTCGCCTGGTTCGTGCCTGGAACTGGCAACAGGATGGGGGTAAGTTGTGCCAGCACTGGGTGGATCGGGGGTGTCTGCGGGCGGGCGGACTGTCCGGTCTCCGAGTCGGCGCTGGGACGTGAAGCCTGCTTCTGACCGGTCTCGGTTTTGGGGCGTGGGGGATCATCGACCTTCTTCTGTCGGGGTGAGATGTTGCCTTTCACCTGCCTGGCCTCGGTGGTGGGGCGATCACTCTGACCCGCTGTACCGGTGTTCTTCGGCTGTTGCTCAGGGAGAGTGGCCTTGGGGGCGTCTGCCTTCGCTGCGGTCTCTGTCTTGGGCTGAGGCTTCTTCTTTGCCGGGGTCTGTAGCAAAAACCCGGACTTCATGCCGCCGAATGTTCCCTTCGGTTGCCGTTGTTGGCCGTACCGGGAGCCCGCACAGAGGCGCTGGGTTTGTCGGGCTCTGCAAGTTTGTTCTTCGGCGTGTCCGCATTGTCGGTAGGCCCGTTCAAGTCACTACGCCGGGCTTTCTTCTTGACAGCCTCCTGAAGAGGCACATTGGGCGGGTCCACGAATGGAGGAATCTTAACTTCACATCTCTCGACTCCGATGGCGGCGTTCAACGCTGTGGTGGAGAAAAAAGAACCTTGTCAGAAACGGTCATACTTGTAGATCGAATCTTAGAACGTTGCCGAATCCGGTTCTGTTGTTCGAACGCGGCGGACAGAAACTGCTCTGAAGTAAACTGAAGTAAACTTGCTCTCACCATTGCCGATGGAGCCCAAAATCCTGGCGGCGAGGCCGAACAGAAAGATAGTAGACACTATAATGAAGCTGAACATGGCGTCAATACGCACACAGCTGCAGGAACTCTGGAATCACGCAGAAATCAAGACGGGCGAAAAAAAAACACGTCCAATTCTCTTTCAGGGACTTCCAGAACTGAAGTACATTTGTGACGTCACAGAAAAAGTATCAAAGGACGTGGCCTCACTGTGACGTTAAAATGATATGTACTTAAAATGACGTCACGGGACATAATAAACTTGTCTATGACGTAATTGCTGTTTGATAGACGCAGTGATAGATATTGAAATGTTTAACAAGAGTTCTACGATGTCATGCCTTCACCATTCCAACCGACGAAATTATACATTTTTCTCATTGATTATGGGATTAAGATCCTCATTTCATTTCCATCATGGATTATATCAGTTGGTCATATTCTACAGCGTTGAACGGCCTTATCTTAACAGAGAATGTTATTCTAGCACGTCCTCATAAATTATGCAAATGAGGGTATGATTTGACTATTTTATGTTTATTGATACTATCATGAAAGTTCATCTGTGTTGGTAGTTACCTGTTTAAAGTTAAAAGTTTTGGTCCAACACAAAAAATTATTTCACCTAGCCCTTTCGACCAGTCACTCAGACTGACCCAGTGAGGCTTCTTTGAAGTATGACGTCAACACTGGGTCAAAGGTATCTGGTAGACGATGTCGGTCCCCGTCGCAGTTAAGTGAATTGTTTATTGATGTTCACCTTTACCTAACCCTTAGCATCCCTAAATCATGAGATATCAAAACGGGAATTTCTCCTGTAGTACCTAGGAAAGCCACCAGGGGGCCCAAAGTCTAATCATTTCTAGCTCTCATCAAGACCTACCCACTTACCAAGTTTCATGACTAGGCCCATCTATCAATTGACAACTGAACCAGTCTGTAGTAAAAGGGACAAGAGACACTGTACTATGGGGATAAACAGGCTACGCTCGGCACGGCAATACTCGGTGTCTGTCTCCGTTTCTGTCGAGAATTCCACTCTTTGTCCGACTGCTCTACAGCAGACTTCATGTAAATGAACCTCTTATAATCATGGAGAAAAATGTATAATTAGTCGGTTTGAACTGTTATTACATGATTTGGCGAAGGTATTAGATCGTGGAACTCTTGTTATAAGTTCTGAGATAAAACTGCCTAATTAGGTTCAAGCTGCCAAACGTCATATTTTGCCGAGCTTGTTAAAGCCAACTAGGACCATGGATTTCATTTGAACTAACCCGCCCAAACCGAGTTCGTCTCACCCCTGGTTGACCTTTTTTGACGTCAACAGGTATGTGACAGCCATGATCCCGTAGAAGTGGTCACGATCGCTGGTATTCATTCTTTTAGTGGATTCACGCCTTCTTACCTTCAATTTTAGAGCTACCGGGTCCTACTGGTCTGATCTTCAACCAACATAAATAGGTAAGCTGTACCAAGGAGCTTTTTTTATTAAAGCTCCATGGCTGTACATTTATTATTTGTTGAATACAACTGTCATAGTCACTGCACTGTGGTAATAACAAAGGTAGCTTAATAGTTAAATGTATACGTAAGTGCTTTCAGTTTCATACCTTCACCTTGAATCCACATGGATGCTTGTACCAAACCCTTTCTTCAGTACAGTATCAGATGTGTCAGATGTTTAGAACTATCTAATACTGTAGAGACGGGTTGGGAAAACGTATGTCTGGGGAGTTAGTAAAAACAAAATCGGTGGTGGATGACTCAACTTTTCCCCCGCCCAGCTCAACATGGCGCCCGATGGGAATATGCCTGTATGTACGTAGGTTTTGGCACGCCAGGGGTTGACTAGTAGCGCCCCACCACCCTGAACAATGCTGAAGATCCCTAAACGCCGTGCAAAACCAAAGCACCTTGAACCCCGTGAGTCGGACAGGGAAGAACCGGTACCAGCCCCCAAACCTCAATAGACTGGGCGAAACGTATTTCAAGAGTAAATTGTACTATAGAGGTGCACATACTTCCGTGTTGAGGCAGAAAGACCGTGGCAAAAAAGGCCCTGGGGGCAAGACTCGTTAGCTAGGCGGCGGGCAGAGAGTTTACACTCGGGCGTTGGTCAGCCCGTCCCCGGCACATGCCCTCCCCGCACTCCGCTCTGCCCCAGATGCGAAACCCTCTAGGCCGCGCAGTGATAGTTTTGCCCAAATATCTCTAAACCTTTTATCAATACATTTTTTTATGTGCCCAATTTTACTATACAAAGCTATTTTCTTCACAGACGGTTGGATCCGACCATGGCTGACGCCATATTAAGGGCAGTGTTTCCGGGAGACGCCGACTTGTCGCCAGGCCCCAGCATCCAAATTGGTACAAAAAAACGTTACATTGTACTTGAAACAACAGTTATGCAAAGCAATTGAACAGTACTTTGTGCGGGATCATCACCAGAAATTTACCAATAGTTATAGCATTTGTAACTGACTTATCAATCGATTATCCATTGGTTCCAAGTGCACAACCCAACATATTTGTTTATTTGTTTATTAGAATTCACCACAAGTACAAAGTCATACAAGTGGAAGGGAGGACAAAATAGGTGTATTGACACCTTTACAAGTTGTCCTCCCAAACACAACAACATAAGAACATATTGCTCTATAATAATAATGATACTATGATAATGATAATAATAATAATAATGTAAGTAACAGCTACTTTTTTACATCCAGGTTTATGTAAAGCAGGATTGTGTGCACAGACCTAACGAGTACCAGTATTTTCACAGGTTTTGTAGCAAGCCCAGGACATGACAGACGTCGGCGGCAGTCGGGTTCAATGTCAGATTTTTCAGGATCTCAAGACACTAGCTTCGATCGTTCCCTACCGAGCACGCAATTGACGTTTTTCTCCCAAAGAGGTAAATAGCAGTTTTGATACTGAGTTAAAACAAGCTAGTCTTAATATATTAGTTGCAAATAACTGCAAGCATGTGCAAGCAATGTATTGATAAGAGCAAGTGCTGACTGTGTCGTAACCTGAATACAACAGTGATATTCTGATAAAAATCTGCAAAACCTACATCTAATCAATGATTTTGTTTCCTAGCTCTTCAAGCTCAAGGCCCCATGACAGACAAACACCGTGACATCATTAAAAAGCGCACCCCAGCTTTGGCGAGAGACATGAAGCCGAAATACGTCGTACCGTTTCTTATCCAATCAAACATACTGAGCCAAGACATGGCTGACGAGATTCTGGGTAACCATACAAGGTATAGCCAAATATTTTGGAATCAATGAATGAATTGTGTTGCATGTGTTTTAAAGAAAAGACAATTTCAAACGTTAAACATGACATAGTAATATTAGACTAATACATAAAACCCAAAACAGAGTTTCTACATTTCCTCGTCCAGGTACGAGTCCAGCATTTTGCTTCTTGAAAACATCCAGGGAATGGGAGATAGAGCTTTCTACGCCCTAGGGGAAGCACTGCGTACAGCGTGTCATCAAGAGCATCTGGCAGGGATGTTGGAACAAGAAGACCGTCTGATCGAGGACTTTGAAGAGGTAGTTTTATAATTGTTTCGTGGGGAAGAATCTTTTTGTGAAAAGAAGAGTTTAGGATCTATTTACAATGAATGATTTCCTCTAATTTAGGATCTATTTACAATGAATGATTTCCTCAGATGATGATTGCATAATTTTGACTTGTTGACTATTGGAAGAGTGCGCATGCAATGCACTATTTTCTTAATACATGTATATTGAATTCATGAACTGACGGTGTGGTTTAAGGGAGATAATATGAAGAATGTGAAGAGTGTGTCTGTGAACACAATAACTCGGGAAGACTTGCCAGCATTTAACACAATTAATTCAAATCAGGACCTCAATTGCATAAAGTAAGATGACATGTTACAATGACCTTCTTTGTACTAGGACTGTAACTAGGTTGAGGATAGGATAAACTAATTTGATTCATGCAAATGAGGATCTTATTTGCATAATCACGGAGGAAAATGTATAATTTGTCCGTCGTAAAAATTATTTGGCGAAGGTCTGAGATCTTGGAACTCTAGTTTTAGACTATGACCATGAGATCATGAGGTGACTATTCATCTTGATTTCTTATAGGCGGGAGATTTTGGCGACAGGACAAGGGTGAGTTTCTTTTTTTAAAGAACAAGTCACATTGAGTGACACATTTACAACGCACTGTAGACTCATGTGGTCATTTCTTCTCTCTTTTTTAAATCGCTACATACATATTGGCCCAGGTACATTACTAAGATACGGAGTCGGGGCATGACATAAGTAGATTGAATGACGGCACGCCGCCAAGGATGAGTTTTCTTTTTCCCTTGCCAGGTTCGAAAGTGACAGAGAGGGCGTACTAAAACTAATGAAATACGGCCTCGATGTCAACTTTCACGAACCAATGATATCCATACCCAATAATGATCTCTGGTATTTCCCAAAGAGCATTGAAAAAAATTATGTTTCTACGATGCGATACTACTTCTACTACTATTCTTCTGGCACAGTTCCTGAACAATGTCTACAGAAATTGTTGCGTAGCTGAAATTATTATACAAATTATGTTTCTTGCCCAGTTTCAGGTGTGAAGGTACCCCAACATTTTTGGCTCTATGGAATGAAATGGCAGAGTAATTCTCACAAAAGAATGCGGACCATCCGTGTTTCATACCCGTATTCCAGAGAGGTTGACCTGTCATTTCTTTATTCTGTTGTTCTGTTCAGGAACTGTGCAATAACAATTTAAGTAGTTGAAGTATCATCGCGTAGTTCTGGTGACACGAGTGGCAATTTCTTCCTTATCTTATTCAATAGGAACAAGAACGCACCTATCACATGGTGATCTTGGGTAAGACGGGCAACGGAAAGAGTGCCACTGGTAACACTATCATCGGGCACAACTACTTTACCACCTCCTACGACTGTGTGTCTTGCACGTCAAAGTGTGAGTTAGGTACAGGTGCCAGGAGGTATGACAAATTTGTAGTTGTTGATACCCCTGGTGTGATGGACACTGAACGACCAAATGATGAGGCTATGACTGAAGTAGCTAGGTGTCTTGGTATGGTAGCGGACGGAATCCATGCGATTCTCATTGTCTTTCCTTTTGGCTTTAAGTATACAGATGAGGAGGAGAGAGCCATAAAATCGCTTGAGACGATGTTTGGTAGCAAGCTGTTTGACTACACCATACTTCTTTTCACACACGGTGACGTGTTTGAAAAGAAAGCAGCCCCAAGGGGTGACACATTCCCTTCGTACCTAGGGAGGCAAAGTGACAAGTTCAAAGAATTGATTCGGAAAGTAAACGGCCGTTGCGTTCTGTTTGACAATGAGACAAACGATGAGATGAAGAAACTGTCACAAGTCACCGAGCTTGTTGAAATGATTGATAAGATGCTTATCACCCAAAATCTCGAGCCATACACAAACGAGTTGATGAAGCCATTGGCCAGAAAGTCCAAAAAGATGGCGAGAGAAATAATCTCCACTGTGCAGGCAAATGACGATGAGGCAAGCGCACAGGCTGAGATGACAGGTATCCCATCTCAGGAGGGCGAGTCAGCTTTCCGAACAGTTCTTGACGAGATCGGCAGGTCATTTGGTGTTGAGCAGGTTCTGCCTGATGATGTAATGGATGGCATAGAATATGCCAATAGCCACAAACAACCTCTTTCCTCTTATTTGAGAAAGCGTATAAAGGAATCAATTGTCGATAAGAGACGGGAGGTACTTGGTACTGGCAACATTGCCGAGGTGGAAGATATCAGAGAGGGTTTGAGAGAAAGGTCTAAAGGATTCTGTTTTCCTGCATTGTCTACCGTGATGGCTCCAAACGGTGAACATATCACTATGGAATGTTTGCAAGTTGGGACAAGTGTTGTAGTTCCCTCACAGAAGGTTACTAAGCCCTCAGTTGATGAAGTGTTTTTGTTTGGTCATGCGAATCCACAGACATGTGCCTCTTTCCTCTCTATCCAAACGGAGTCGGGCAAATGTATTGATATATCGGAGGGCCACTTTATGTACATCTTAGATCCTAAGGGTATGTGCCCTGTACTGACTCCTGCAAAGGATGTCAGGGTAGGAGACTCCGTCTACGTGGTCGTAAACGCCAGTCTGCCGACCGTGCTTGACAAAGTGGTAAAGGTGGAGCAGGTGCTCCGCCGGGGGCTGTACTGTCCCCACACGTTGTCAGGTACGCTGGTTGTGAACGGGGTGTGCGTGTCCACCTACACGGAAATGTTGCCTCCGTACTTAGCCCATCCTCTACTTCTGCCTGTCAGGTGTTTGTACAGGATGGTACCGGGTGTATCGAAGGTCTTGAACATCATGGATACGAAGCAAGGCATTCCGATATGGCTCAACTGGCTTCGTCAAGTCTATGAAAGGTTTACCATTTAAATCATCTCTTAGTATTTCCACCGTGAAATTGAATGTTTCCTAGTTTCAGTAATTTCGAAATCATAAATAAATTACCCACGTCAGAAAAATGTTAAATTACCCTCCTTTGGTGACCAAGACTTCACCGTGGTTTCGACCCCGTTTTCCCTAACGCACATGTTTTCCTCTCTTACGAAATAAATCTCATTAAACTTGCTAAATCACAACCCGCATAACAACTGTACGTAACTAAGTATAACAATTCCTCGGCATGATTATCGCTATGGACGTCATTGAAACCAAAACGATTCGCATCAACTGGACCCCAATAGCTTTATACCGAATATCCGAGGAGTGTGAGGAGGACTAAAATGATAGTTGGAGGTAGGGTATATAGTAGTTAGTCGTTTTACGATGGTGGAATTTTATTTGTTTATTTGTTTATTTGAATTTTTCACAAAGTGAAAGGGAGGGCAAAACAGGTGCTTACGCACCTTTACAAGTTGCCCTCCCTTACAAAAAACAATGAATGTGTAAACACACATGAACAACAACAACATTACACAGTCAAATACATAATCAATTGCAGCAATATGTAGAAATAAGCAATAAATATAACAATATGATATGTTAAGCATTAAACAATTTTACCTAATAATAGGTGGGAATACATCATGTTGATATAGGAACTTAGTAGGGTCTAGAGGCAATGCAAGAACTGCACCCACAAGAAGTGGTCCAAGTACATGGCAGGTCAAGACTGTAATGTGTGTTAAATCTGTTGTAGGTGGCCTTGAGGAGTTTGTGTTTAAATGATGTAATATCCGACGAAATATATTTATAGCTGACGTAAGACCTGGAACGGTACCGGTTCTGGTTGTGTATGCTTGTTTTAATTACTCTCATCTGACGATGTTATGTATGTTACGGTCTTGCTGGTGTACATAATCCAGATAACGGCTTTTAACATTCAGCTGACGATGCTGTATTGTTTTAACAACCTCGGGCACGAATTTGCAATAAAACATATATTAAAATATATGTAAAACAATAAAACATACATAAAAACAGACAATTAGTACACACAGAGCTACTGATAACTACTAAGAAACTACTAGTAGAAACTACTTTGCTGGTGTACAGTCATCCAACTCAGCAACTGACGATTTTGTTAACATTCATTTGACGGTGTTTTGTTTGATGCTGTTCGGATGATTAGTGCAACAGTCAGTTTCTAAATATGCTATTCACATTGTCGATATGATACATGATATGATACATTGTGATAAAATTGCCGTAGGTATGAAATCTTAGATTTCTTTTTGTTGACTTTCAAGTTGTATCAATTAGAAAAGAAAACTACACCGGTTAAAGTATTTCTGACTGATATGTAATGATACTAGTGTTAGAAATTGCTTTCATCACTTGGTGTTAACGATAAGAATAAAATATTATTATAACACTTGAATTCTTTTACTGCAGAGGGAATGATTTGTTCTGATTTGAACTATTCTCATGACAATTTTTGTGATCAATGATTTGTTGTGATTTGAATTATTGTTATGATTATTGTTATGATCAATGCTTTGTTTTGATTTGAATTATTCTGTAATGGTTGGTTCAGTGAATGTATGTATATATGAATAAAAGAAACTCCAGAGGGAACTTGTGTGACTTGTAGATATGTGTTAAAATCCCATGTTTTTGTCAATTTGGTTCTTATACTGAACCTGTCTGAAATGGAAAATAAGTTTTAGGTCAACATTATTATTATCTGGGTATATAATAGAATACATGGAGCATGTGTGCTAAATAAAAAGTTTGATACTATGCTTTCGTTTGTAATTGATTTGTTAAACCATTATTATGAGGCAGCAAAGTAATATTGGATATACGATTATACCTTGGGTCCAAGACTAAATTAATGATATATATACCTGTACATGTATCTAAATTTTTGCAGTATCTTATATAATAGTATATTGTACAGCACATGTATTCCAATCATCATATCATTCATGAACATTGCCATCTTCCAAGCCTCTTCAATGTATGAAGACATTAATATTTTTTAGGCACTGTAGCATTCAGGAACTGAACATTGAATTTTCGTTCTTTTCGAAAAAAAGGTTTTCAACCAAAGAGTAAAGGTTACGAAGCAGCTGCAAAATCAGAAATATGTGCCATAGATTAAAAACAACATTGAAAAAAACTATATTGGAAAATGATACTATTGTCATGGAATGCCAAAATCAATCATCCAAACTCCGTGATTCTAACATGTCCAGATCACGAGATATCAAAACCGAGAGTTCTGCTGCAGTACATAGAAAAGCTGCCAGGAGGCCCAAAATCTAATAATTGTGAGCACTTATCAACATCTATCTACCTACCAAGTTTCATAACAATCCATCTAAAGCTTCTTGAGTTATCGTGCTAAACCACCTACAAACAAACTCTATGGAAAACATAACGTTAACCTTGGCGAATATATGCCACCTTGTCAGAATTTTGCGTTGGATTTGATTTGTCCATTCCATTTATTCTATATCAATGGAAGGCAAAGGAGATCCAAATATAAGATAAGCTAGATATGCATTCGTTCAGAGTACTAGTACCTTCCCAGTAAAATTTTCTATGAAAGGTATCACCAGTTAGTTATTGAAATATTCATGAATTTATCCCAAGCCTTTTCTGCGCTTACGAGTAACATTCTAGCGTGTCATTTGTAGTACATAGGACGTTAAGTGTTAGATTAGAAAAGACATGGACCTTGTCAAATCAGGAACATTGAAACTTTATTAAAACCTTGCTGTGACAATATAAATCAAGGGTGGATATACATGACTTTGTGCAACGACCGTATTTACTGGTCACAATGTTTAAAAAAACCCGAAAGCATTAAGTAAAATTAAAAATGGACAAGAGTCAGCCACATACTAGTATAGCAGTCTACGTGTATAAACGAGAAATTGTGTTTATAAACCTCATGCACGGTACATATGAAGCAACAGGGTATCACTTTATTCTGTTAATTTTAACATCTGAAAAAAATGTCGAGAAGGACTAGTCTGAGATGAAACGCACTGTCCTGTCTATGTCAATGGCACTAAAAAGAGAACTTTTTTTTTTTGCTTTTTTTTTTCAACAAACATCTTAGCTGTTAAAACAAAGCTAAGATACCCGGGCTACCTTGTTTTATAGATAGCGTAATCGGAACTTATACGCTTCGACAAAAACAGGTTGATGACGATGCTATTTCCACATCTTTTCCTGTTGTTGCGGTGGAACTTCTGCTTCACTTACAGTCCGGCCGCCCTTCTGGCTGCCACAATCATCGCCAGCCAATTTCGGGCCTTGCGGGTCCCGTCCCAGATTAATGTCGCCTGGTTCGTGCCTGGAACTGGTAACAGGATGGGGGTAAGTTGTGCCAGCACTGGGTGGATCGGGGGCGTCTGTGGGCGGGCGGACTGTCCGGTCTCCGAGTCGGCGCTGGGACGTGAAGCCTGCTTCTGACCGGTCTCGGTTTTGGGGCGTGGGGGATCATCGACCTTCTTCTGTCGGGGTGAGATGTTGCCTTTCACCTGCCTGGCCTCGGCGGTGGGCCGATCCTTCTGACCCGCGGTACCAGTGTTCTTCGGCTGTTGCTCAGGGAGAGCGGCCTTGGGGGCGTCTGCCTTCGGTGCGGTCTCCGTCTTGGGCTGAGGCTTCTTCTTTGCCGGGGTCTGTAGCAAAAACCCGGACTTCATGCCGCCGAATGTTCCCTTCGGTTTGCCGGTGTTGGCCGTACTGGGAGCCCGCACAGAGGCGCTGGGTTTGTCGGGCTCTGCAGGTTTGTTCTTCGGCGTGTCCGCATGGTTGGTAGGCCCGTTCAAGTCACTACGCCGGGCTTTCTTCTTCACATCTTCAACTTCACTACTCTCGACTCCGATGGCGGCGTTCAACGCTGTGGTGGAGAAAAAAGAACCTTGTCAGAAACGGTCATACTTGTAGATCGAATCTTAGAACGTTGCCGAGTCTAGTTCTGTTGTTCGAGCGCGGCGGACAGAAACTGCTCTGAAGTAAACTGAAGTAAACTTGCTCTCACCATTGCCGATGGAGCCCAAAATCCTGGCGGCGAGGCCGAACAGGAAAATAGTAGACACTATGATGAAGCTGAACATGGCGTCAATACCCACACAGCTGCAGTAACTCTGGAATAACGCAGAAATCAAGACGGTCGAAGAAAACACACGTCCACTTCGCTTTCAGGGACTTCCAGAACTGAAGTACATTTGTGACGTCACAGAACAAGTATCAAAGGACGTGACCTCACTGTGACGTTAAAATGACATGTACTTAAAATGACGTCACGGGATATAATAAACGTGTCTATGACGTAATTGCTGTATGATAGACGCAGTAATAAATATTATTGAAATGTTCAACAAGAGTTCTACGACTTCATATACCTTCGCCAATGATTACACTGGCCAGGTGGTCCTTGTATATACAGTACTTTTCAAAATATACTTCGCATTTTCACGTATGCAAGTTGTTGTTTTTGTCCGTCAAACTTGGGCGTATCTTCAGTCTTGAGTAATTTGTTGTGGAATCTTTGACGGGCAAATTATGCCTGTCAACGACTATCACTGGTAAACTGGTACATTTTCTTAATTTTTATACAGCGTTTGAAATAGCCTAAAAACAACATACGTGTATTAGGAGTCAGTCTTTTTTTTTTCAAATCACCAATATAACGTTAACTAAACCAGCCTACGGGACAAAACAAGCAAACGTTTCCTATCAGCGACATCGTATTTTGCCTCACAAATATCAGCACGGTATGCGATAGGATTCAGTTTCAACTTTGTTAATCAGCTGATACGAATAAAATTATTTGTAGAAAATTGAGCACTCAAATCAAGCTCCTGAGGTCTTTGTGGTTTTACAAACACTTGCAAGGCTTTTGATGCAGTCTGACACGCAGGTAGTCTTACGTTACGTCACACAGATCCTCTTTTCTCATCAAATAAAACTGAACCATTACCTCACCTGGTAAAATATACCAGATTATAGAAGACATTACCAATGTATATTGATGCATGGCGATTTTTAACAGTGTGGGCATCCGTGGTATAAACATTAGTAACCAGTGTGTCGTTTGGACGCTCAGAAAAAAAAATAATTCAATATATGGAATGCTTTCATCTAAATCTTATCTGTAACATCTGTAACACCTCTACCCTTTTTCTGAAGAAACTACTATTTCTTTTTTATTCTAGGAAATGCCAATAGACTGGTTTATTGTTGTTGAACAGATAAACCCCAAGACCCACTGGCAGCCTATAGATGCATTAGGCTGAATTGTTGGGCCTGGTTACAAAATAGAATTACAAATGCAACACACAGCTGTTTACACACATAGGGATAAAATGTAACACATAGGGATAAAACATACTGTGCAGTGGATATAATATTATTAAACAGGTTTCAGGAGCATTCTTCAACTATAAGAATACATGGTAATCAGCCTGTAAAAACGATGCATGTTTGGCTTTAAGGCCCTGGTAGACCTTGTTGACTACAAATACTGGAATATATATCCACCTATTCTGTCTCATGATGTATAATGCATAATGTAATCAATGTTATTTTTATTGATGTGTATGTTTGGGATGAGCGCTGGTGATGTCACCTGCACTGTTCTCTCTCCTTTTCTACTAGCTACTTGTCATGTGGAAAATGTTAATGAATGACATTTAGTGTACATTTTGCCCCACTGGGCTAATCACAGGTCACATGTTTACCAAAGTATATAAATGCAAATATAAACGTCTAGAATACACAAGTACTTTCGACTTCCTCTCGCTTCTTGGTAATCGCATAAATGTAGTTGACTGACATGATTAGTTAGAGCTGTAATAAACAATAAACCTATCCGTATCCAATTCTTCTGTGTAACAACAAACTACAAAAGTCAATAAACCATCAATGGACATTTTTTTGTATATATACATTCCGAAACATGCAATCACTAGACGTGATGACGGCACACTCAAGTTTTTTCAACTTATATTAATGCCGCCACCAACACAGGGACAGTACAATACTCATTTACACCTGAGCGAAGTGAGGAAAGTCGTGTAAAGTGCCTTTCCCAAGGGCACAAGATCGGTGGCATGTCAGGACTCGAACCCGGGGCCTCTGGTTCCGAGTCGAGAATGCTGCCGCTGCGCCACACGACCCCACGATCAATGGACATTCTCATGCATCTTAGCGTATCAAAACTTGCACAACTTGTGATGTATATTAATTCTTACATGTGTAAAATGTAGTGTTCAAACATCTACCTGTCATAACAATGTGACCAATTACAAAACTGACGACATTGTTTGGGTGTATTTTCAACGTGCAATCTTTAACTTGAATGTTGGCAACCTTCTTCTTGACACGTATTTGAAAAAAGACGTCCAAAGAATCATAAACAACATCGTTTTTGGTGTAAAGAAATTAATAGACAAGTGGAGAACAAACTCAAAGCATAGTTCTGAAAGCATTTCAAAGATCTATGGCGCCACCAAACATCAGTAGGCATGGATCAGTTGAGATCAATCTGAAAAGAATAAACATTATAGTTAGTAAACATACCATTTGAAATAACATTTATTAGTCAGGTGCAGCGAAGCTAACATCTAATTTTACCGAATAGAAATTCTATGAAAATGGAAGGATGCAAAATAAAAGTAAAATGACACATATAAAGGACAAATAAAAAACAATGCCAAGGAGAAGGAGAGGGAGAAAGAGTACACAGATATTATCTAATAATTTGGCCTACCTCTGTTAACTTCCAAAGTGTAAAAACACCATTTTACTTCAACTATTGAATCATTGAAGCAGCATCCTCGCTGGCCACACTGTTCTGGAGTGATGCCACCCCAACCGCAATCCACCCGCATGGTAGGTTCGACCAAGCATTCTTTACCTAATAATAAATAAATGATAAAGTAAATAATAACTAGAAAGGCCGACATTTGCTTGGGAGCAAATACAGCATATTTCAGTCCATCTCCCTCCCACGCAAAAGTGGAGTATTCCAAACTTACCCCAGTGCAAAACTGGCAAAGGTTCTCAAAAATAAATGAATTAAATAGTAGCTATATGAGAACAAAGATGCAACAACAAGTACTTTGAATCTCGAAAGCTTTACTAATCTCATTACAGGTATGCAAAAACTAACAATGATGAGATTTGATACATTTTGACGGTCTTAGGCACATAAAATTGAATGTGTGGGTTATTACGCACCACTTAGGTGCAATGTGACCTCAGGTAACCCGCAATGGAACACATGTTCCATGGATGGAACCGGCCATTCTTTAGATAGAACATGGAACGGGTATAGCACTTTTGGCCCTTTTTTTGCTGAAAATAGCCATTAAAGTCCCCCAAATGAGTCATTTGGAAGTGGTGTATGCCAAATATGTGACTGCTATTCTGTAGACACATGTTCAAGGTACCCTTATATCGAATTTCAGATCATTTGGTTGTAAAACCAGGGATCAGGATCCAAAAATCCATTTTTTGGCGAAAAATGCCCCAAAAAACCTTCATAAAAATTTTTCAAAGGCATGTATCAAAAAAATGAAAAAAAAAAACGTACTGGGGGTATTGGCCCACTCTACCTCCATGCCAAATTTCAAGTCATTTGGCTGAATGATGGCGGAGTTGAATCCCTTTGACTGATTGGCAGGAGAAGAAGGAGAAACATGAGAGAACACAATATATTTCATCCATACCATGGTATGGACTGAAATATAATCAAGGATTTTATAAAGTTGATTTTATAAAGGTGCAGGTGGACATGGTGAAACGTAACTAATCTGTGAATCAGGATCTGCATAATTGACGCCAAAATGCTGGAATCGCCCTCTTTCTAAACATAAGACTGTTGTGACGTAACCCATGTTTTTTCGTGGAGAATATAATCAAATGACTTGTTTCGTGCAAATGACGGCCTCAACAATATTCGTCAGTCGTAAAAAGGTGTGACTTGGTACCAAAACTTAGAACAAATGCAGCATGTGATATTCTGATGGTATGGTCTAAAGTGATAGTTATATGTGTTCCGACACAGGTAAAGGACAAGTGTCATCCAGCCTGAAGTTTTGCATCGTTGCCAGCTTACAGCACTAATGGGATTCTCTGTAACATGCATTTCAATGGAGTCCATGAGTTAACATTAATTTGTTATGGTAACTGAAAGGGCAGGGCTTCATCAACTTTAATTTGGCTCTTGCCCCCACTAAGAGGGCACAACGCTGTTGATAGGAGAAGAGTTGACTTGAAAAAAATTGAATTAGCCTTTTTTATGTAGACATTCCTAGCCGCTTGCTCTGGAACTACAGTGGCATTTGTTTCACAACTTTAAGATGATTATCACAACTTTGAGATGATTACTCAGGAACCATGAATACTGGTAGTTTCATGGTGTATAGATATCTCAACTGATGCTTGCGAATTACGCAAACACCGATCTAATTAACATGATTTTGAATCATGGACTTATTTTGTGAGAATATGATAAAATAATACTTCATGCAAGTGAGCATCTTAATCAATGAGAGATATGTATAATTCAGACGTAAACGTTAGCGAAGGTGCGACGATGAATGTTAGACATCCAGGTAAACAATATTCATAGGAAATTCAAATTAAACAATGAAATAATTGATTAATTAAACAAAATCAAGATACAGAAATAATAACTGAAGTGTGTAAACTAGTATAGTTACTATACTTTTGTCATGTATCATAGTTACCTTTGTTTGGGGTAGGCCCTTAAAACACATAGGTTTCTAGCCTACCCCGCATATTCTCTTATTATTATTATTTATGTAACTTTTTTATACGTGCAAATAATAAATAAACAAATAAACAAACAAATACTACAGGATAAATTACGGAGATAATATCTGGACGTTTCGAGTGGCATCCACCACTTTTCTTCAGCGTCACTAATGAACTAACAAAACTCGATAAGGCTCATATATGCCTTATTGAGTTCTGTTAGTTCATTAGTGACGCTGAAGAAGAGTGGTGGATGCCACTCGAAACGTCCGGATATTATGTCCGTAATTTATCCAGTAGTACAGTTTGAATTTCCTATGAGTTAGCGAAGGTGTGAGGTCGTGGAACTGTATTTATCAAAAGGTTATATTTATAAAACTATTTTAAACCTTACCAAATGGTGCGTCACAGAATGGCACATCACAGAACTCCCATCTCTTTCCGGAATCCGTGGTGTAGCACCAAAGGGTATCTTCTCCTTCAGGATTCCGGCAGTAGTTCTGGTCCAGCCCGGATGCAGGGTAGTTGGCAGGCGTCCTTGAGTGACGATGAGGAGTCTGACTGTCCCAGCCTTGACACGTCCTGCCCGTGCGGGTCACAGAGACTGTTCCTCGGTAGAAGTTCCCATCGCCTGTCTTACAGTCTTTGGTTTGGGCTGTACGTAAAATATGACATTACCTGTATGTAAAATAGGACATTACAAAATCTCCTGCCTCAATAAGATAATTGAAGCTTTAGCAAATTATTCACAACATTTGCCTAATTTCCAACATTTGCAGAGACTAAAGAGGTCCAGTGGTGTCATAAATAAAGGCCGGGTACTGACTGTTTTAGATACGATACAACCTTAATAAGACCGTTCCATAAGCCGGTCCCCCTTAGCAACGCCCTAGCAACTCGAACACCTCCGTCAAAATCAGCGCGGGAAGGGCCGTTCCGACTGCCGCCGCCAGAATGTCGGATTTGCAGCCTAATACGGTCGATTTTTCGACAGCGAAAAACTCTCCCAGGAGGCAAAAAAAATGGTTAAGCTATATTTGTTGAAAGGTACATCCGCAGAGTAGAATCATTTTAGGGGGGGGACAGAGAGAGTGAGAGCAAAATGTTTTCGCTCAATACAGACGCGGGATTGGCCGCATAACATCACACGGTAGGTGGACAAGATCGAGTGTGCCCGGTTGCTGACTAACAGCCGATACATGTGTGAAACAGAGTACGTTTATCTGTTTACTGCATGCATCACAGCTGTATACAAGATCGGAAAAAAAAAACGAAATGGGAAATAAAAACTCACGGGGACTCACGAGGGAGGGCGCAACTTATAAAGGGATTTGTGGTACAAGTAGAAAAATAAGCACGCAAACACGGACATAAACAATAATGAAATTTAACAGAACGTCCTTAATCAACTTGAAAGTGCATGCAATGTCACAAGTTCAGTTTCACCGATTATAAAAGGCTGCGATTGCACGGGTAATGTTTGACCAATGAACCAATAAGCCATTGCGCCAGACCCTCAGCATTTGCATGCCTTTTTTGCGACCATCTATAGAAGCCATAATAACCTTAAACCTCACCAGGTGTAGGTGTAGGTGTGGGTGTTGTATTGGGAGAGGTTGGACTGGGTAGGGAAACATCCAGGCTCTTAGGAAGACCCTTCGCCGCCATGTTGTTCAGAGTACGAGTAGTTCGGCTCACGTTGAAGTTCACCGCATCAATCTTCAATTTCAGCCGTTCAAGTCTGTCTGGAACATTACAGGATGCATAAGCATTGGTTTGCAATCGTATCCCATTCTTAACATAGGACCTGTTTTCTCATATAACGTGTTTTTAGTTGAAGGACTGCAAGCTATATCTAGCACACTTCAGTCGTCCCTCAGTAAGACATCTGGAGCCGCAAAGGAGCCGCCAAACAGTGTCAAAACGATTTCATAGCCTTCTTGTCGAAGACAAATAGCTGGAACAATAAAGAAACGTCTCCAGAAGCTTGCTTTGGTGCTATTTGAAACGCTCCATGTATGAGCTAAGAAGAGAATGCATTGAAATGGCAGTAAATTAAATATCAGAAAAATTTCTTCATGTAGGGTACTTTTTGTTCCTGCCCTGAAGTTACACTAGTTGCCTTTTCCAACACACAAGCAGATTAGCTATAATAGTGTAAGGGTTTGAAAATGACACTTTTTATGCATATTGTAAGAGGCCATCGTCTTTGAAGTTTTTGTGACCAGTATGATAATCTGGTTATGCTAATTCGAGGCTTTGATGATAGGAACATCAAGGACATGTCGTATGGGTGCGAAATATTGTGTTGTTCCCTTGCTAGACGACTGTCTGCATTGCAATATGTGTCCAGTCTGTGGTTTGACAATAAAAGCTGGGTGTTCGGTGGGTTGAGAGAACAGTCTAGAGGACAGTCTGAGACAGAGACAGCTCGCGAGAAGGTTACAGAGAGAGACTGTCCCAGCCCATCGACTCCCGTGCGTGTGTGACGGCAATGCCTGTGTCCTGCGTGTGTTCTTGCTAGCCCTGCAGTTAGTCTCCCGTGCAGCATCCTCAAAGAACCTGGTGAATTCCACCTCGGTTACAATAGTATAAAGGAAGAGTTTGATACTGCTATTTCTACTAGTTGGAATTAAAGATTTGCATCTTAATGCTTACACGTCACGGCGGAGGCATGTAGTCACTTAGCTTACTGTACTGTCAGTACGTTCAGAGTATAAAGTGAAGCACACGGGAATGACAGGGATATGTAGTACTTACTTGTAAGGTGCTGGGCTTGCTGTACTGTCAGTAATGTCAGACCTTCCTTCCCCAGACACAAAACGTAAATCAACAACACCAGGGTCACTCGGAAACAGTTGCTACCACCCATCATCTATAAGCTGGCAAGGACGTACCTGCTGGACTGTAAGTTTTCAGAGAAAAGTTGGCTGCGTAAACCGAACGTTTGATATACTGTGTGCTGTTGGACTTAGTCAAGCTTAGTTCACACACTCTATGGTTAAAGTTGTTAGCTTTGAAAGTCATCTATCGACTGCTAAAAGTGCCTAGGAAAAGCTAAGCTAGAAGATCTCATCATATCAGGAGTGGCAAATCCAGTGACGTGTGCATTGTTCCCTGATTTCGTGCTAAAATGGTACTAAGTCATGATGTCAATCACCAACTTGTTTTTTTTTTCGCTAACGCGTTTCTTAAGCTTGCACTTGAAATTGCATTTGAGAAAGTCTCTTTGTTGAAAACATTTACTCCAATTAGAGGGGATTAGGGGAGCTACTTTTGTAGGTTGTTTCGATAACCTTAAACCCCTATTTAAACAGAAGGATTCTTTATGCGAAGCTAACAAAATTGTAGCCTGTGTTACACAAGCTCTCTCGGCCGGAGGTTAATGACCCCCACCCAAAGAGGGTCGGCAGCCTACAGGGCGGGCGGCCATCAGGAGCGCGGTTTAGTCAGTTTAACAACATTTACGCTTGTTGAAATATTTGTTCCAACACAAAAGTGTAAATGTTGTCACCGAGAAGCTTTCGACCAGTCAGTACGGTCTTTCCTTAATACATTGACCCAACATGTGGATTTTCTAAAGTATGACGTCAGCGCTGGGTAAAAAGATATCTGGTAAAGCATGTCAGCCCCCGTCGCGGTTGATCAGTACACTTCAAACAGATAGCCCTGCAGTTCCAGAGAAAGTCGCCAGGGGGCCCAACCTCACGCCTTCCCCAGCACAAGCGCCACCTACATGTACCATCTAAATTTCGTCACCCTAGCACGTCTAGATCACGAGATATCAAAACCGGAAGTTCAGCTGCAGTACCGTAACAAGCCGCTAGGGGGTCCGAAATCTAATCATTTCCAGGTCTCATCAATACCTACCCACCTACCAAGTATCAAGACAATCCATTGAGCCTTCTCAAGTTATCGTGTCTACAGACGGACACACACACACACACACACACACACACACACACACACACACACACACACACACACACACACACACACACACACATACACACACACATACACGAACGCCTCTGAAAACATAACCTTCTTGGCGAAGGTAATTACGTCACAGACACTTTTATTATGTCCAGTGACGCCATTTCAAGTACATGTCATTTTAACGTCACAGTGAGATCACGTCCTTTGATACTTTTTCTGTGACGTCACAAATGTACTTCAGTTCTGAAAGTCTGAAAGCGAAGTGGACGTGTGTTTTCTTCGACCGTCTTGATTTCTGCGTGATTCCAGAGTTCCTGCAGCTGTGTGCGTATTGACGCCATGTTCAGCTTCATCATAGTGTCTACTATTTTCCTGTTCGGCCTCGCCGCCAGGATTTTGGGCTCCATCGGCAATGGTGAGAGCAAGTTTACTTCAGTTTTACTTCAGAGCAGTTTCTGTCCGCCGCGCTCGAACAGAACTAGACTCGGCAACGTTCTAAGATTCGATCTACAAGTATGACCGTTTCTGACAAGGTTCTTTTTTCTCCACCACAGCGTTGAACGCCGCCATCGGAGTCGAGAGATGTGAAGTTGAGATTCCTCCATTCGTGGAGCCGCCAAGTGTGCCTCTCCAGGAGGCTGTCAAGAAGAAAGCCCGGCGTAGTGACTTGAACGGGCCTACCAACCATGCGGACACGATCGCGAAGAACAAACCTGCAGAGCCCGACAAACCCAGCGCCTCTGTGCGGGCTCCCGGTACGGCCAACACCGGCAAACCGAAGGGAACATTCGGCGGCATGAAGCCCGGGTTTTTGCTACAAAGCCCAAAGAAGAAGTCTCAGCCAAAGACAGAGACCACAGCGAGGGCAGACGCCCCCATGGCCACTCTCCCTGAGCAACAGCCGAAGAACACCGAGGGTCAAAAGGATCGGCCCACCACCGAGGCCAGGCAGGTGAAAGGCAACATCTCACCCCGACAGAAGAAGGTCGATGATCCCCCACGCCCCAAAACCGAGGCCGGTCAGAAGCAGGCTTCACGTCCCAGCGCCAACTCGGAGACCGGACAGTCCGCCCGCCCGCAGACACCCCCGATCCACCCAGTGCTGGCACTACTTACCCCCATCCTGTTACCAGTTCTAGGCACGAACCAGGCGACATTAATCTGGGACGGGAGCCGCAAGGCCAGAAATTGGCTGGCGATGATTGTGGCAGCGAGACGGGCATCTGTACAGGAGGGACTGTAAAGTGAACCAGAAGGTCCACCGCAACATCCCGGGAAAACATGAACAAGGTTGAACTTTGCAACATCTCCATCAACCTGTTTTTGTCGAAGCGTATAAGTTCCGATTACGCTAATGATAAACAGGGTAACCCGGGAATCTTAGTTTTGTTTCTAAAAGCCAAGGTGTTTGTTTTTGGTGCTAGAAAAGAAAACAAAAAAAGCAAAAAAAAAGTTCTTTTTTATGCCTTTGACATAGACAGGACTCACAGTACTGTCTAGTTTCAACTTAGTCCTTCTCTACAAAGTCAAACAGACAATTTTTCCCGGATGTTAACAAAGTGCTGGCCTGTTGCGTCATACATGTACATTTATGTACAAGTCACTTCATGAGGTTTATTAAGACCATCTATCATATATAGACTGTTGTATGTGGCTGACTCTTGTCCATTTTTCATTTCAATTAATGCATTGTGTTTTTTAACCGACCAGTAAATACGCCGTTACAAATGTACAAAACATGTATATCCATTTACCCTTAATTTTTCACACTCACAGCAAGGTTTTAATAAAGTTTCAATGTTCCCTAATTGACCAAGGTCTATTATTTTTATATAAATGTATTTTCTAATCTAGCACTTTACACATCCTGTGTACGACAAATGACACGCTAGAATGTTACTCGTAAGCGAAGAAAAAGGTTGGGTTGAATTTATAAATATTTCAATAACTAAGTGGTGATACTTTTTATAGAAAGTTTTACTTCCAAGGCACTCTGAACAAGTGTTTACCGGCTAGCCTATCTTATCTTTGGATCTCCTTTGCCTTCCTTAATTGTAGAATAAAGGAATAATAAAAAATAATCAGATGAATTAATCAAATTCATTGCAAAATTCTCACAAGGTGGATCGTTACCTTTGCTAAGACGGTTGTGTTTTCCATAGCGTTTGTTTGTGTGTGT